AGAAAAAAAAAGAAGAAGAAGAAGAAGAAGAAGAAAATGCTTATTTTTCAAACTTTGGCCTATTGTTAATGGGCTACAGATTTGCAAAGTTGTAACCAATGTATGTAGATGAACTGTATTTTTGTGTAATTCTCCCTTTATTTTATTCCTAATACAATTTACTTTTGCTAATTTTCACTTCTGTGATAATTTTAGTTAAACACAAAATATTAGTTTCCGAAAGCATTTTTATATAAGAATCTTTCAAAAAGACAAGTGCCATCTCAACGTGCCTTGTGGGAGAGAACAAGAGAAAAAAAAAAGAATTGTGTGAATTATCAACATATTAATGCGTAATTTCTGATAAAAGTAGTTACTAAAACAGAGCTAAATGCTAACTTCAATCTATGTCACATTCAGCAAACAAGTGCCTGCCTCAACATGCTTTAACGGAGAATAAGAAAAATAGAAAGTAATATTTTATAATAATTAATCATCAAAACTTAAAAGTTAAAAGTTAGAGAAAAAGAATATAGTATTTGATGATAATGTGAAATAAGGAAATAATTCAGTAACTATTGCTTAGCATGACACTTATAGTAATCTAAACTTCCAATTCATACAACTCATATAATATAAATAAGATTCGTTAAGTAGCCTCACAATATACATTGCAAAGATTGTCAGTTCAATCACAATAAGGGCAGTTATAAAACTCACATTCAAATAAACTATGTATTATATAAAAAATATTTAAAATATGTGGCCTAGGGTCTAGTTCAAATATAGTCGTCGGGTTTGGGAACGTTTGAGTATACTGGGGAATTCAAAAATAGTTCCCAAGTTGCAGTGGAACAAAATAAACCACCCTTTTAACAATGCCGACCACCTCCGTCTCGGAAAGCACATTAGGCGTGGTGTGATTAACATTCTCCATCACATGGTTGTGATTTGCGACGGTATGTTCACCCGTCAATGAGTCAATATGTTGGAGTATAAAGGAAGATGGTTTCGACGACGATTTCACATAGTGAGTTAATATGAACTCAGGATTTCTTAATAGTTCTTGCCACTCTCTGCGGACAAGCTTGCAGCAATCAAGCAATTCCAAATGCTCAAGTCGAACAAAATTTTTGGAAATAACATCCGTTGGTAGTTTCATAATATGATTTTTAGCCATGATAAATCTTGGAATCAAACCTTCTTAGAGTAGCTAAAATCTTGGAAGAAATGTTTGATGATTTTAATTTCTTGGAAAGATTGGAAGTGATGGAATTTTGAGTGTGTTTGATGATTTTAAAACTTGAAAAGTTTGGGGGAGAATTGAATTATTTCGAATAGAGTTGTTTTTGGAGGGAATGGACTTTTGATTGCTCGAGCTTATAAAGCAAGATTATGGACTTAAAAATAAGATCGTGGTGTAATGTGTAGACTGTGGTGTTAACGCTGATTTAGAAATTTGTTTAAGAAAATTAGATCTACCATTGAAAAACCTTGAATTGTGAAGCTCATGATAAACTGGGTTTTGTTGAGTTTGTAGTTTTTTTTATCCTGATTTTGACTGGGGTGTGCTCAAAATGCTGATTGAAAGTTGTGGCTAAACTTTTAGTCAATTTTGATGGAGATTTTGAAGTCAATTTTTAAAATTAAGGTCAAAATTGATCTATACTGTATAGCGTAATGGTAATTGTATACTATTTGGGTATACAATAATTAATTCAACAGATACAATATAATAGTATACCATTACAGTATAGAGTATAACATAATAGAGTACAATTACAATATATTATAGTATATAATATAATGTAATCGTATACTATTACAGAATACTGTATAATATAATAGTATATTATTATAGTATATAGTATAATATAATAGTATATTATAAAATACAATAGTATATTGCTATGGTATACAATATAACGTGATAGTATATTATTACAGCATATAGTATAACGCAACACTATACTATTAAAATTTGTTCCTTTTTAAATTTCCCACTAGCCCCTTTTCAATTTTAGAACAGAATTCTCATGCTTTCTCCAAACCTTTTCCTAAATGAAGCGTTTGATGGAGTTTTATGGAGATATTATTGACTATATCAAAGGTAGATGAAGGAGTACGCATAAAATAGTAATATACCAATTTAGTATATTTATATATTTGTAGGCATATAAATTTTACATAAATTAAATCCATAAAATAATTTGGACTATATTTTAAATTCGAGATATATTGGTCCAAATAAATATTATGGGCTAATATAATTGAATTAGTTATATAAGTTCAATATATATAGATTAAATAAATGAGTCTTAATCTATTGGGTTAGCCCATTTAATTGGGCTAAAGTGATGAGCCCACTTCATTAAGCCCAAGATGTCATCTTCCTAGAGGCCCAGTTTGGTGCCACGTGTCAAATGACGTGGTGCGCCAAGTCAAGCGGAAGAGCCAATAGGACCATGCCACGTGAAAAAATGACAAGGCATGTCCAGTCACGCTAAAAGGCCAATGAAATCGCGTCGCGTGTGCAAGTGACATGTTCTGGCCAATCAAATGCAACCATGTCACACTTCAATTTGATTGGTCGGAAAGAGTTTGTTCTTATCACAACTCTTCCCTTCCACAACTATAAATAGGGGTTTTCATAACTCAGAAAAGAGACCAGAAGTTATAACAAGAAGNGTGTGCAAGTGACATGTTCTGGCCAATCAAATGCAACCATGTCACACTTCAATTTGATTGGTCGGAAAGAGTTTGTTCTTATCACAACTCTTCCCTTCCACAACTATAAATAGGGGTTTTCATAACTCAGAAAAGGGACCAGAAGTTATAATAAGAAGGAAGAAAGAGCTCGTGGATCAAACGCTGCAAATTCCTCCACAAGTTTCAGACTTCAAGTTCAAGTTCAAGAAATCAAGTGCAAGTTCAAGAGCGAAGAACAAATCAAGGTCAAATTCAAGCAATCAAGCTCAATCTCAAGAACAAGATCATCGTTCGAGGCAACAAATACATATTCAAGATCAAGCTCAAAGGCCCTTGAATTTATTTACTATTGAAAAGTAGAATCAGAGGATTCATAGAGATTGTANAAATGGCTTCGAAGAAAATCAACTCCAGATCAATATCCACCAAGGCTGCTAACTCCAGGTTCTATGCTGATGTGGAAAGCATCCTCGATGTCACCTTTGGAAGCTACAGACCAGTTACGAGGAGTAAAGCAAACCCTTTAGGACAACAAGCACCCCAAGTGTCGTCCGCATCAACCCTTATTTTCGGATCTTCATCCTCAAAAGGAGCAAGATCTTCCACAAACGCATCTGAAGGAGGAAGCGATGTTGCTGAAAAGATCAAGAAAACTTTTGCTCTGCTTGACCTCTCGGGCTCCAAGCACTCTGTTGTGAAGGAAGATGATGATGCTTCAAGCGATGGATCCTCCCCACTTACACCACATAGCGTGAGCCAGTCAAGGGTCAATTTGTGTGAAAATTCATGCTACTCTCTGTCATCCACGACAATCATGCAAGCCATAGTGACAAATATTTCATCTATGGAGGAGCAGTTGGGAAACTTGACGGAAGCAATCGCTGGCTTGACCAAATGCATGCAAAATCAAGAGGCTAGAATTGACAAGCTAACAGACAGGGTGGGAATTTTGATGGAAGAAGAATATACCCATGCACCTGGCAAGCTCCCAGAAGTTCTAGAGAGTGACTCTCCCCCAAGACAAGCAGCATCCACTAAGGCTATCTCTGTCTCATCTGAAGGGATGATTCCAATCGAT